AGCTTTCGTCCCCCCCCCCCCCCTGGGGCACAGGTCTTGCAACAAAGTGCCAAGCAACTGCTCTTGGACATGAAATCCTGTCGTCCCGACATCATCTGGACCGGAGCAACAGTAAGTTTGGCAATCCCCAACTTCCCAGGCTCTGGTTCAACACCCCAATGCTTTGGGAAGAGCGACTTCTGCAGATACAGCGCAGTACGAGACCTATGCCTTGGAACCCCTCCAGGTGTCGCCTTTGTATGTGACGAAAGTCGGACCTGGGCTTCGATTTGGGTTTGAGAGGCGTAGGGTGCTTCTGTGGGCGCGCGCTTATCTTTCCTCTCAGACGCATAGCTTCAGATGTGTGTGGCTACAAGTTGTTGCATGTTTGCAATCTCAGTTGTTACTGTTACATCCAGTGAAGCTTGCAATGGCCATGCCTGAGCCTCATTGGAGCGGGACTTTCCCAGTGCTTCTTTTCAAGCTTTTGCGGAAAGCTGTAAAAACCGAACCTTGGTTTTGGCAGGCATCTCGCAGCACCGCCGACTTCGTGTACGTACGGCTGCATGGAAACAATGCCGCTTCCGCAGCACTTGCAGTCTTGCTTTCCAGTGTACACCTGCCTCACATCCTCAATGGATGCCTGTTAAAAAAACATGGTATGACATAGGGTCCTCTATGCTGACAAAGCCGTCAGCTGCTTGGCTACTTGTAGGATGTTGGCGGGTGGCTGAGGATGCGCATCAGTACCGCTATACGGATGAGGAGCTTTCTCGTGCCTCGCCTTTGTCTAACCATAGGCGGATTCACATTCAGCAGAAAGCCGCAACAAGGGGTTAAAGTCAAGTTTTCCGAGCTTGCCAGGCTATGCACAGCAGCTTCATGACTGGAGATTGCAGGGGCTGCGCGTCTTCTGCTATCTTCTGAACGACGATGCAGGCGGGATCGTGTCCGCATATGATTCTAGACCCGTTGCGAGAGCCTGACCTGGGCATTGGGGATCTGTAAGCTAACTACTGTGGCCGCGTCAGGAGCCGCAATGCCGCAGAATGTTCTGAGCTCAGATACTGTCCACATTTTCTACCATTTGCTTGAAATTTGTATTCTTGCTGTGTTTCCGCCTGGAAGACCACGGTCTCGAAACCGCTTGTTTTTCACGCTTCAAGAAGACACCGCAAAGTTCTAAGTCATGAAGCCTTGCCCTAAATCCTGACTCGAAAGACAAGAGTTGTGTACGGCTCAAAGTTCGGCCTTGAAGGAAAGCTCGCATGCAACCTCATGAATGTATATAGTTTTTTTGTTTCATACTCTCTCTTTAGTATACACACATAATATGTTTATATGTCTAATGTAAAAATTGTTAGAGTGCATCCTCCAGAACCTCTCAGGCGAAGCGGCTCCACGAGCTTTGCTGCCGCCTCGCAGGAGAAGCGCCGCCACGGGGCCCGCTGCCCGGCAGCAACGGGGCAGAAACGGCCCCATTAGAGTAGCCTTTGATAGTAATTATGGTAACCTTTTATAGTAGTTATAGTAGCCTTTTATAGTAGCTCCACTATCAGATCCTTACTATCGTAACCTCATTATAGTAGCCTTGTTGCCGTAGCAGGATCACACTCTGTCTGCTGATGGCTTTCCGGACTCTGCTGGTTTCCAGGTTTTCGCTCTGGGATCGTTTGGTTGATCTTTGGCTGAAACCTCGGGAGTGCCGTGTTTTTAC